TTCTGTTGTTGTTATTAAACTGAGGAGATTTGATTGTGATCACAGGTAGCAGGGAAAGAGCCACATGGGGCTGAAGGGATGGACCAGAGGTTCAGGACAAGGAGCAGAAGTGTCCAGAACAGGTTCCCAGGGGATGTGCAGGGCTGGGGGCCTGGAGGCACCGGGAGAGGCAGTGCCAGTCTAGGGTGACGTTTTCCAAGCATCCGAATCTGTTGACTGAGCATGAACACAATGAAACAAGTGACATTTGTTCATGAAAAAGCCATCTCTGCCCCCTCTTGTCTGTCCACTGCAGGTGATAAAGGAAGTCCAGGAATTCTACAAGGACACGTACAACAAGCTCAGAGAGGGCAAGGATGAGCTCCAGCGGGAAACACTGAAAGCCATCCACACCGCCGTATGTCGTCTTCGCAGACCCCCGCCTTTCTGACCTTCCTCTGGGACACGTGTGCACAGACCCACACTTCTCTGGTTCAGGCACCCTCCATTTGTTTCTCTCACCCCCCATCCCTGTTCTTCTCTCTGCAGTTGGACTGCTGTGGTTTGGCTGGAGGAGTGGAACAATTTATCTCAGACATCTGCCCCAAAAAGGACGTACTCTCAACTATAACGCTGAAGGTAAGCCTTAAAACAAGACTCCGGTGCCCCTGCCCAGTGCTCTGGACGAATCCTGTGATGGCAGACTGAAATCTGCCCCCCTGTTTGGGAGGGAGGCATCCACGTGCTTCCCCATTACCTCTTCCGCCCATGAACAGGACCAGGGGACCATCTCATTCCCCCGCCCCTGGGCCTCTGTGTCCTCAAGTGCAACAAAACCAAGGCCAGCCCCGGAACTAACAAGGGGTTCTAGCTGCCTGACATGGGCTGCCCTGCGCTCCGCCTCTCCCAGCCCTCAGGCCATTGCAGATGGGTGAGCTCTGGGTTCCGGACTCCTGGCTTTTAGGTTTGTGAATAGCTGATGACACGCTAGAACTAATGTCTGAACTTCAGAATAATAATAAGTAACCTGTGGCCGGATAAGAAATAGACCCAAAAACAGTGGCTTAGCCCTCTTCCTTCCCCAATTTCTTCCCAAATCTGAGGGACCCACATCCTATACCTCTCTGGGTTCTCCTTTCCATCCACCCACCAGCCACTGAGCAGTCCTCCTGTTCCCAGCCCTTTCTCTGGGACCACCAGAGCCCCCCATGGGAAGGGGGGATGTGGGAGGGGGGCAGTGTGCCTAGAGCAGGGAGCAGCGTGGGTGACATGGGCCTTGGTCTGCCTCCCTCAGCCCTGCCCTGAGGCCATTAGAGATGTCTTCGAGAACAAGTTCCACATCATTGGCGCTGTGGGCATCGGGATTGCCGTGGTGATGGTGAGTGTCAAGGACGCGGAAGGGAGCGGTCCTGTTAGTGGTAAACATGAGGCATGTGCTCTGGCCAGGTACTGCTTTAACTCATCAACTCATTTATCAGCTAATACAATCCTTGCCATACCTATGAGATGGTAGGGAATGGAAAGACAGGGCGGTTGAGTAAGTTGGTCAAAGTCTCTGGGCTCTTGACGAAGTATCTGGGATTTGAACCCAGTGCGTTTGCAGAATCCATTCTCTGAACTGTTAAGGTTCAGGGATGAATGTGCAGTGATGCCCAGGACTGCTGATCCGCAGACCTTGCTTGCTTGGAGTCGCAAGCATGCAGGTCACCTAACCTAGGATGATCTTAGCAACCTGTCTTCATCTTTTTCACCTCCCCTCTAGTCTGAAAGGCATCCAAAAGTAGACAACCAGGAAGAAGACTCAAAGCTTCAAATAACCTACTGTCTTGCTAATCAGCCCCCAGAAACCATCAAGGGCCAAAAAGGGTCCTTGGGGTCATCTCCTCTTCCCCATGAGGGATTGATAAGGGAGTATGGGGACACGGCCCTTCTGCCCCTTGGGAAACTCTCCAGAAGGAGTTACTTCTTTTCTTAGTGGTTATTTGCACTGCTAATCTGCATCTCAGAAAGGTTTGAAGCAGCCTTTGGAGAAAGGCATAACAGTATCATTCCAAATAGAATGTAAGGCAGAGACACAAAGATGGAGGTGAATTACTCAC